CCCTTAGATTTCTGCCGAGATGGTGCTATGTCATTATTGTTCCGCTGGGTTTTCTCGTTGGTTGAGAATATCGAAATATCTTTCCACCTCTCTCACTGCCGTGTGGCGTCACGTCACAGCAAGGACTCATGACGAGGCTCACGCTTCCGATTTTCTCTAGTACCCCGAGACCGTGAAGGAGCCACCGGAAGTGTCCCAGGTATTTTCTCTGTCGCCGTTAGTGACATGGGCGCGTCTCTCAGGGCTCACGCATGCCAGTGTTCAGAGACAGCTTTGGGGAGAAGAACTTCGTGACTTTATAGGAGCTCGTTCTTCTTGTTTGCTAAATAATTTAAGGCTCTTTTTTTCAAGGCTTAATTGCTCAGAAAAAATCTCTAGCTGTTACATTTTCTATCCTGCGATGGAACGTATTTTTGGCTGCCGTTAATAACCTATGCAATTTTAACTTTGGAGAAGGAGTAGAGTACAGGGAAGTCCTCTAAGCACTGAGTGCTCCTAGCAGACTTCTGAACGTCACATGAAAGAAAAAGACAGTGGAACTCGGACGGGGAACTGTTTCATCGCGGTGGGTAACGTGGGGTGCCTGTGGCAAGTGTTGTCAGTGACCTCGTGGTCACCAGGCCTGTCCGACTTCGCACGTTCTAAAGCAACTTCAGATCTCTGCGTTTTACTCAGAGTGTCAAGAGTGAACTTATTCACGTGCTGCAAATGGGTATTCCATACCACAATTCTAATCGAGGTAGAACTGTTTTACACATTTGCGTAAGTCCCAGAATTGCATATAAGCGAATATTTGCAGCGTAATCTGTTGAGAATCCCTTCCACCCTCAAAGAAAACTGTTTCCACAAAAAGATCAATGTAACAAAACCACACTTAGAGCTATCAGTTACGCTTTCAAAAGTGTCCTGTCTTCTCCACCGCCCAGTCTCTGTGCCTGTAATTCTTTGAAATAACCACCGTAAGATGTAGTCTCATAAAAATGCATGACAGTTACAGAGGTGTGTTTGTCTGGAAGTGTACCTTCCCTTCCGATGGTAAATGTTTGACCTAATTACAAGTTTATAGTAAAGAAACCTAACTACGTGTCATCTCATGTGACGACCATCTACAGTATTAAGTAGAGGGGTCTCTGAGGTCCAATAATTATTATTAATATTTGCTTTGTTTTTATTAACAAGTTTGAAGGATAGGACATAGCAGTAAAATATAATAATTTTTAAGTGTGAAAATGTGCCAAGCAGCCATTTATTATCTACCTTTTATTTGTGACTGAGATTGTAGAAACGTAGATTATATTTAGAGATGGGCCACAAGGTGATCTCCAAACTCTCGTTAATATAGCGAGGAAACAGGCCCAGCCTGGGTAAGTGGCTTGCTCGGGGTCACCCATAACCAGGCCCATTATTACAAGGTGGATGTGCCATATGTCAGTGCCACGTTAGACATTCGACAGCGCCCCCAACAGGAAACGCTTCCTCGTATAGAACGTAAGTTACTCGCCTCCTCTCATTAGATGCTTGGCAGAGATGGAGAGCAGCTGGTGCCTGCAGTTTCGTCCTTATGACTTCACCGTCTCGTCATTTTGTTACCATCTTTTTCTAACCTTCTTCAAGGATGCCTTGAGCACCACAATCTCATTTGTCGCTTTTTGGTTTTATGGTAACTAGAGCAGTACATTTCCAAAGGATGCTTAGTGTATGGTTCCCAGTACCAGCTGCATAATTGTGGGTGCCTGGGTAAAAAGAGATTGAGAATCTCAAGATGACACAGGGGAGCACGGAACTTTGAAGTAAGAGCAAGGCCTGCGTGGGTCGTACCCCCGAAGCTGGCCCAGTGGTTGCAGATGTTCCGTCTAAAACCTTCAAAGATGAACGTGTCAGATTCTGGGCTTGAATATTTTGATATACCATGAAGATTATTTTTTTCTATACGTGTAAAACAAGGACGTCCTTTTCTGTTCTTTCACTGTGGATGAGTTGACTCTGGGTAATACTTGAAGCTTTCCCAAGATTTCTTGAGGAGGAATGCTAGACTGCAGACTTAGAAATAAGCGACGTGTGTTCTGGGAGTCACAGTGTCTGGAATGCGGGAGCCAGGTGATCCAGTTTAGTCCAAAAAAATCGGGACTGAGATAGTCAGTGTCCGCTATCTAATTGGGTTGGGTCTTGGGCATATAATTTGTACGAGGATATTTGGTGATTTTTTTAAAAATGTGACTGTTTTGCCAAAATCTTATTTAACTTATTTAAATACTACTGATAGAAAATATGCTTTTAAAATAAACAGTATTTGAAGCTTGGCATAAAGAATGCCCTACTTAAAAAAAAAAAAGGCTAAATAAAAGTCCCGTCCCAGGTGACCAGATAAATCCAAGTGCCAGTTTCTGCCTCTCCATTCGTTTTTAGATATTTTATTTGGGAGTATAAAAAGTTACAGTTCTATTTCATGGCATATATATAGTAAAAGTGTCATATCATATAATCTTTTTCACATAACTCTTTATCGATAGTAACCTTTTCAAAAATTTGGTTTTATTATTTATCGCTTTACTAAAAACTTTCCACATGGCAAATACGCGTCCATTTTTTATTTCTGTACGTTAACATTAGATTTTTTTTTTTTTTTTTTCCTAATCTAGAGCTAAGTACTTATCGAGGGCTGTCTTTTTTCGGAGAAAAATAGGGTTTTTAAATAATGCTATTTGACTTAGAATTAACTCGTAAAAGATATGTATATATTAGAATAAGTTTCAAGGAGATGCTTTTTTTTTTTTTTTAGTACTTTGGCATTATGGAAGTTACTGCTTTGTAGTGCTAATATAAATTTCACCGGTATAAAAAGAATTCAAAATTTCACTGCCGTCTTCCGCTCACCCTCATTTAAGCGTAGCCGGCAGTGCCACCATCAGACAGACAGGCTCTTAGCAGCAGCAGCATCGGCCCTCTCGGAAGTAAAACGTCCCCACGTTTAAGGAAAGGCTGGAAAAACGCGTATGTTGAAACAAAAACGTAAAAAATATGGCGGACACCAATGACATAATGAAGCTGCCTTCGATTCATTTTCTGATCAAATCAGATTCATACAATTCTTCAAAAACCCGTTTCTAATTTGGATATTTAGGTTTTTGCAGGTTGTTCCGTCCAGGCAGCTTTATGTTGATATGCCGGGTTATTGTCATCCTATTAAGTTTGTTGTCCAAAGAGAAAATGCCAAAGAAGAGCATAAAATCGTGAAATGAGCACACCATCTTGGTTGGATGACAGCTTCCCTAAAGTGCATTTCGAGGGCAATTTTTTCATTCTGCCTTTTCCTGTGTATATGATTTATTTTTTAAATAATGGGACTTTAGGAGTAAGCTGCCAAATTAATTATAATTATGATGATTTTAGAATCTATATTAAAGCATAGACTTTTTCTTCCACGGTCTGATACTTACACGATACGGTATATTTATTTTTGAATGAAAAGTAACCTGGTCTCATCCATCTTCCTGTTGACATCAGACAGGCCTCTGATATGCTAATCCAGCGTCGGGCGAGCACAGACAGGCTTTATCTGGACTCATTCCAAGTCTGCAAGAAAATTATGTGCACAGAACCGATTTTGCAGCCTGCCACCTAGACTGGAAGCTGACGTTGACACGAGCTGCGATGAAAACTGCTTAATATCGAAACATGACACAGGAAGTTCCTAACATTTCAATAATACTACGATTTGCTTTTTAATTAGTTACCTGGTCATCTAATTGTTGTTTTTGGCTGCTGATGTAATAGCCATTGAAATTGCTAGTAAGTTCATTTCCATAGTATCTGTCAGAATAAAGACTAACCTGAAGTTATTAGCTTTTTCCTAAAGATTCAGCCTTTGCTCTGTTGGGTCCATATTGAGACAGCGGGTATAACCTTTTGCTAACCATGAAGTGGGGATATCAGCGCGTTTCCCTGTATTGTTTGTCATTTCAGCCTGCCCTCAACTGGTCACGGGGGAACGGTTGACAGACACTTGTTTGGGAATTACCTGAAGCGCAGGTTCTCCATATTCAATAACAAAACATCGGAATCCGTTGAACTTTCAAAATCACCGTTTCCAGATGAAATGCATCAAAGTACAGATATGTACTTTGCTGTCTATCACTAACTTTCTATTTGAGAAAAGTTATCAGAAAATTTTGTCAAAACTTGCTTAAATACAGTACTTGACGTCGGTCGTAAATACTGTTAAGTAGGAGAGAGATTGTATTTTTGGTTTTTATATGGTGAATCTTCGTGACTCTTAGGAACTAGGGACTGTGTCCTTGGACGAGCGTGTTACTGCTTGTTTCTCTGGCAGGTGTAACGTAGAACGGCGCTAACCGCACCCCACCTTTGCCGTTTTCGGGGCTGTCGCCTTGCGCGCGAGGCCCCACCCTTCCCCCCACCGCCCTGGCACTCAGCTCCTCCCGTGAAGCTTCGTTTCGTTCATTCAAAGCGAAGAGCAAGTTTGGCTCATCATGTGCGACAGAAATATTTATGACAACTTTTTACTTAAATCCTTTTTGTTTAATTTTTCATAAATTAAGTGATATTTCAAATCACCGAGGTGGTTCAATATTTATTTAAAAGGAATTCTATAGCGATCCTCTGTCAGGAGAAGAATTGTCTTGTAAGGAACATAATCACCTTCAGATTGCTAGACTGTGTTATTCTGGCTTCTCCTAAAATGAAATCTGACATCTTCCTTTTAGGCCAAGGAATTATTTTGTATAGATGTTAATTTGTTGAAGTCGTTGGCCATCGATCGCAAGCACAGTGCGATGCGACCTGCGCCACCATCAGACACGACGGGGGGAATTAAGCTCTCGTGTCAGGTCGAATTCTTGGAAGGATTTCGTGGGAAAAGCATAGGCTTTTGAGTTGGCGACGGGGAGCTGACAGTGGGGGTTTTGCTGACGGACGGCTTTCTGCACGTCCAAATCTAGTCTGAAGGTATCTAAGTCTTATTCTTTCACTTTTTCCCGAAGCACTTTAAGAAGCAGAAGAGGCTGATCCCCGAGAGGACCGTGTGGAAGTACTTCGTGCAGCTGTGCAGCGCCCTGGAGCACATGCACTCACGCAGGGTCATGCACAGAGGTGGGTGCGCCACCGCTGGGCCCCGGGCCGCGGGCCGCGGGGGGCGGGCGCCTCCGGCCTGGCGTCCGCGCTGCCGCCTCGCGTCGCGTGTTCCCACACTGGAGCTCTGCTAAACGATGAGCCTGCGAGCTTAGCCGCACCGGCCTTTAAATGAGGATGAGAAGCAGTTCCTTCTCTGCTCGCCTTGAGCGAGCGTCTTCCCGGTGGGTGTGAAAAATTCCAGTGGTATTTATTTAAGCCATCAAGATTTCGAAGGCCATTTAAGTAAATAATTTTATATATATATGGAGTTATGGGTTTACGTTTAATGTAAATATATTAATAAATTAATATTTAGTAAGATATTTAAAATTGACATCAAAAGGGCACAAATTTCACAAGAGTTGATTTGAAAATGGAAAACAATGTTTTAACTGAAAATTTACAGTGATCTTTACGCTGCGTTGCTGATCATCAGAGGACTGAGAACGTAGACATTAGGATATGTAAGAACCACTCAAAGTTATTGGTACAAAATTCAAACTGACTTTTATTTTTAAGATACATTTTTAAGTTCTGCCATGAAAAGTGGTTTTTAAACTCTTGAAAATACCTAAACTGACGTCACTTTTCTCCTGGTGCCTTCATTTATTCGCAGACATAAAACCGGCTAACGTGTTCATTACAGCCACCGGGGTGGTCAAACTCGGCGATCTTGGACTTGGCCGATTTTTTAGCTCCAAAACCACAGCCGCACACTCTTTAGGTAAGAGACGCTACGTGATTTCATTCAGCTCTCCCTCCCCCGCTTCCCTACCGCCCGTTAAAACGTAAGGCATGTGCCAGTTATAGACCAACTCTTACATCCTAAGGAAAACTATTAAAAGTCATCTGGTCTTGAGCAGAGACCCCCAGTTCTCTGTTAGGTGTCATGTGTCCGTTCATGTGACAGTTGGGGCTTCCGTTAACTTGACCTCAGGCAGGCACTTGATGAAAGAAAATGCGGATGAACAAATGTAGTTTTAACTGTTGCCATGGAATCGCCCTTTTATTTCGCACTTAATCATATTAAGATAAATGATAAATAGACCATATCTTGGAAGAGGACTTCGCCTGACCATTTAAAAGACTGTAGTAGTTTAGAAATGTTTATTAACCTAACGCGGTTTTGGTTGCCGCAGAGGGGACATCTCGAAGGTGATCCGTGGCTAGTGATATTTCTCTCAATATTTCCCTAAATTATAAAGCAGAATCCTCTGTAATTTATTCATTCTAGAGCTAACTGTCCATGCCATTTATACCCAAAATAGAACTGCAGGAGGCTGTTACAACATTATATTGATGGAAAGTTTCCTGGTTTGGAAATAATAGAAATTACTAGGAAGAAATAATTTTGAAATTGAATCATTTAAAGGGAACGGTAGAGCTTCTCTTGAAACTTTTCGCATCGTATTTTCTCCGTGTAAATGTGATACTTAGACAAAATAGCGAGAACTTATTTTTGTGTCAATTCGTATTTTATTCTGGTTTTCACAATTCTATATATTTATCGATTCTGAAGAGAGCAGCGAGTCTTTAAACTGCTCAAACATCTATTCATCTTGCACATTATCTGTATGTCTCGATTCCGTGAGAACAAACGAGCGTGGAGTAAACTGTTTGCTCACGTTCCTGTAGCAAACAGAGTTGTGCAGGCGGCCACGTTTCCAGTTTTCATAGAATCAAAAGTGTGTCAGCTTAGAATAGACTAATTCCTGAATATAGGGGTGAAAATTACAAATGTCGAACCTGCCGTTGCTGGACGTGCAGACCACATTCAGGTCCCCCAAACCGAAGAGAGATCTCAGGGCCTTCGCTTTTCCTCCGACGCCCTCCCTGCTCCAGCGCGCACGGCGGACCCCGTATCTCTGCCTGCCGTTTCCTCCTCCTCAGCCCAGGGTCACCTCGTGTTGGGGTCAAGAAACCAGACTCCCTGTGTCCCTGTGTCCGACACCCTTTCAAACCAGTTCCGCGTGTTCTTCCTGAAAGACACTGGCCCGATGACGTCACTTCCCCCTTTGGCTGGAAGGACACGCAAAGTCCGGCGTGGCAGCCAGGTCCTCGGGAGTTCGGGGTCCTCTCACTGTCCCTTGCCTCCACGTGCCTGTGTCCTGGCGTGCCGGCCGTGGTGTCCCTCTGCCGGGTCCCCAGCAGCAGAGGTAGCACGATGACCGGGGGGAACGGAGGACACTGGATTTACATGCTGTTGTTCTGTGGGCTTTGATCAAGCCATCTGGGGACTGTCCTAAGGCCCCACCTCCAGACTTACAGCGACAGAGGCGGGGACCACCCACGCCTGTTATCAGCTGTCCCAGCCAACCCCCCAGTGTAGTGAATGTCCACGTGCCTTCCGAGCAATGCAGAGTGCTGTGCAGATGTCAGGTCACTTCTGTCAACGTGACCAGACTGGTGACTGTGAAGCATTTTGGTGCCTTTTTTATGCAGGTCCCAGGAATGTGGCCTGAACGAGACAAGTCCTCTTGGGGGGAGGAAGTAGGTGACCGCAAACAAACAAAGAGAAGGATGATTTGTTAGCAGGTGACAGAGTGGCTAGCGGGGGAAGTGTTTTGGAAAGGGTGTGGCTGGACGGGGCCCCCCTGAGGGGGCGGTGAGGGGGTGGTGGTCGGACCGAGCTTGGAAGGAGATGAAGGACCTGGGGGACGCGTCTCGGGCTGATGGAGAGCGCCCGTGCCGGGGACAGGTGGGGCAGGATGGGCTCTGCCTGGGGCTCACTGGGCGGGTGCAGGAAGGGCCTTGGTGGGACGTGGGGAGAGGTCGCATTTTGTCGCCAGTGAGGTGGGGTTTTTGCATGGTCGTAACGAGAGCAGCGCTGTCTGATCTGAGTTGAAGCAGCGGCCGTGGATAACGGGGTAACCAGTGGTCTCTGTTCTCAGGGTGTCCGTCCTGGTCGCTGTCTTCCTTTGCTCCAAGTGCCTCTGAGTATGTGCTGCCCAGAACCGAGCAGGGCACAGCACGTGTGGGCTCGCCAGCCCGCAGGACAGAACGTTTGTCACTGCCTGTCGTCTGTGATCGAGACAGGTCTTCGGCTGTTGTCCCCCTGCCCCTTTCGTTTGTACCTTTATTCATGTTAAGTCAGATCTGCATCTAGTGCCTCCGTGTTGGGGTGTGGCCAGGGGGCCGACTGGAGGGTCGTACATGTCCCAGGGTCGTACATTGCCCTGTTTTCTTTCATACCGTTTGTCAGCCGTACAGATGTGCCACCAGATGTTAGGAAATTTGTTCTAGGTGTGTCTGCATTTTTAACTTTTGTGATAAGAACCCGTCTCTCCCTTAAATGGAGCTTCCCGGTGCCCTGGCCGAGTGGCTTTCCGTTTTCTTGACAGTGACCCAGCACCGCTGTGCCCGTCCGTGGGCGCAGGGCCTGTAACCAAAGCCACAGCCCCACGTACCTGTGTCCGCTCCTGCGACTGCGGTGCACTCTAATTGTGGGCTCTGCTTTTTTTCATTTTACTAAAAATAATGCTAATTGCAACCCACTAAATTGATTTCACAACTAATTCACGGGTTACGCCCTGCGGTTTGGAAAGCATCGCTCAGCGCTTACAGAACGTCCACGCGGCTTCTTTTACTTAAAGACGCGCTCCCAGTTTCCTGCTTTCTGCCAGCCTCCCGCCTTGCTCTCCGGTCGGCTCAGTGAGCCAAACATACATTAGTCACTTACTGTGTCCCCCTGGCTCCCGGGGCTGGGGACTAATGAGCACCGTAGTTCTGCACAGTCTGCAAATCATTCAGCTCCCGGGGATGCTTGCAGGTACAGGTGAGCTGTGGGTAGCATGCATTCCCGGTCTAGACGCGAGGGCACGGAGTGGGCTGTGAGGCCAGGTGACCGTCAGGTCCAGGTTCTCTGGCCACAGCAGCATCCTCACCGGCGGTGCCCGAGGTCCTTTTTTCTCCACACCCTCGCCAGCACTGTGTTTTGTTGTGTTTTGTTTCGTTTCGGGTCTTTTTGATAACGGCCGGTCTGACGGGTGAGGGTGGCATCTCATAGTGGTTTCGATTCGCCTTTGCCCGGTGATCCGTGACGCCGAGCATCTTTGCACGTGCCTGCTGGCCATCCGGATGTCGGCCCTGGAAAAATGTCCTTCAGGTTCCCTGCCCATTTTTAAATCGTATTGTCTGTTTCTTTACTTAGTTTTATGGATTCTTTACGTATTCTGGATATTAACCCCTGATGAAATCATTGGTAAATGACTTCTCTCATCCAGGAGATGTCCTTTTCGTCCTGCCGATGGTCGTCGTTCCTGTGCAAAGGTGTTTTGTTGGGTAGAGTCCCATTTGTTATGCTTTTGTTGTCATTGTTGTTTCTGCTTTCGTCGGCCCTCGCCAGGGAGACAGATCTAAACAGCGTCCCTGAGACGGATGCCAAAAGGCTCACTGCCTTTGTTTTCTTCTAGGAGTTTTATGGTTTCAGATCTTTCTTTCGGGTCTTCGATGCCTTTCGAGTTTATTTTTGCTATGGTGGAAGGTAGCGCTCGAGATGGATTCTCCTGCATGCGTCTGCCCGGATTTCCCCAGCACCCGCTATTGTGGAGACGGCCCTCACCCCACGGGGTGCTCCCGCCTCCTTCGTCGTGGATGTAATGGCCGCGTGGGTGTGGGTCTGTCTCTGGGCTCCGTGCTGTTTTATTGATCTGCCTGTTTTCGTGCCGGTTCCGTCCTGTCTTTATTGCCGTGGCTTTGAGTCTACAGCGGGTCCTCGACTAATGTCGTTTAGTCACGACGTCGATGAGATGCTGTAGGAACTGACCCTGTTTCCATCAGCCGATGGTTAGCAGGTTCCGTTGTGTGTCGCTTTGCTTAAAGTCGCAGAGCTTGTCGACAACACGCAGGACTTGGCGTAGTCTGAATCCGGGCGCGTGACACCGCCAGCCCCGTCCTCCTTGCTCCAGCCCGCTGTGGCCAGTCAGGGACGTCTGTGGTTCCGCACGAATCTCAGGGTGCTCTGTGACCGTTCTGTGAAGAATGCCCTTGGCGTTCTCATCGGGGTCGCGCTGAGGCCGTAGCTGCCGTCAGGTAGGGCGGTCATGGTGACAATGTCCGTTCTTCCGGCTCGCAAGCACGGGACGTCCTTCCCTTCGCCTGCACTGGCTTCAGCTGCTTTCATCAGCGTCTAGCAGTTTTCAGCATATGGGTCTTTCACTTCCTGGCTTAAATTTATCCGAGATATTTTATTCTTTTTGATGTAATTGTAAATGGGATCGTTTTCTTAATTTTTCTTTCCGACATTTAGTTATTGTTAGAGTATAGAAATGCAGTAAGTTCTGCATGTTCCTTTCACGTCCTGCAAGTTTAACGAATCCACGTATTAGTTCTAGTAACGTTTTTGGTGCAGTCTTTGGAGCTTTCCACGTACAGCACCACGTCATCTGCAGTAAGTGGCACTTTTCCCTCTCCCTTTCCGGTTGGGATCTCTTTTATATGTATTTTTCTTGTCCGCTGGCTATGACTAGGACTTCTAATACTACCAGTGAAAGTGGCGAAGGTGGGCATTCTTGTCTTGTTCGTGATTTTAGAGGAAAGCTGTCAGCTTTTCACCGTTGGGTATGACATTAGCCGTGGGTTCTCCACATATGGCCTTTATTATGTTGAGTATGTTTCTTTCATACGTGCTTCGTTGAGAGTTTTTGTCAGAAATGGGTGTTGGGTTTTGTCAAACGCTTTCATAGCGACCCCAGAAGAGGAAAGATGGAGGCTTTCGTTTTGCACGGCCGTGCGTGCGTGCAGTTGTGATATGCGCCTCCGCGTGCTGAGCACAGTCGCTGCTTCGAGCTGACTAGAACGCGTGGCTGCTGGTCCTTGCGCTGAACAGACACCTGACCCCTGGGGGCAGCTCTGTCGTCGTGCTGCTGTGGCAGGAGGACTAGTTCCACTTCGCCTCTCGCGGTGACACAGGCGGCGCTCCGCCTTCGCGACCCCGCCAGCTGAGCGAGCGCGTGGGCACCATCCCCGCCAATATCAGAATTTCCACGCGGGAGTCTCGAGTGTACAATGCGTGTTCCGCACACGGTTGCCGAGTGTGCTATGTCCTCTGGTTTCAACTTGGACAATCCGTGTCCTCGAGCCAGGCGTGCACAGTTTCGCGCTGGGCGCCAGGCGCCACCCGTGGGCTGGCAGGAAGCGCGCGTGTCAGCTGCTGTCAGCCCGCGCCGGAGGCCGCTCCCTCCCTCCCGTCTATTTTTAGCTCTCGGTCCTTGACTCCAGCCGCTGCTCTGGGAAGAAGCTGTCAGCTGACTTTAAACTGTGACAGTTTAACCTCTCGGCCACCCCCAGTATTTGTTTCAAACCGTCAGTGGCTGCAGAGTCTCAGAATTTTCACGTGTGACCCGAGACCCTGGACCTCACTGCTGGCCTTTCGTGCTCTGACGTCTAGGAGATTTTTTTGCTGCTTAATTCGGGAAGATACAGATTTTGTCAGTGACATTTCACAGTGGTTTTAATGTAGTGACTGTTCCCATGCAAAGGACGGAACTGCCTGCTTTGAGTCCCAGGTCGTGAGACCTTTGGCAGATTACCTGGCCCCCGGCGCCTCCTTTCTGGGAGAGGCCACCCCTCACGAGGGGACCTCACGGCCCGAGCCCAGGAGGCCGAGGACGCACCGTTGCCTCCGAGTCCCCAGCACGGGCAGCAGCGCGGCTCCGTTCGGCCGAGGCCGGGTCCGCAGCGATGGGACGTCGGCAGGGCGGTCCCGGTGGTGTGTCTAACAGCGCTGGGAGCGGACCGCCAACAACACCATGTTCTGTTTCCCCCCTCGGCATTAATTACAGCTCTTAAATGTTATCAGTTACACTTAACAGACAACGAACTGTACTTAATAAATGTCTTTTGTACAAAGAACATTGCTCATCACTCAGCCAGTCCATATTGACTCAGATAATAATACTCCTTACGATTAAATACTTGTCCTCTCTCAGCTCGGCCTGCCAGTATCATTTCTGGGCTGGCTTAAGAGTCTGAAGGAGAGAGTGAAAATTAATTCCCAGTTCTTGAAGTGCACGAGTCTGTTTTCAGTCAAACCGCAGTGTACGATGATGTCTGTCCTTTAATTTTCCCACTCGGGAGTGCTCAGAGCTGTGTTTTCTGCAGTTCGTTCTAATTCTGAGGGAAGCCGCGTTCCTAAACTGAATTTACTTGTTTTTACTCTCCGAGTTAAAACACTTTGTTCAATTATCCCAGGTAATAGTTTTAAAAAGGAAATTATTGCCTTTTTCCATTTCACTTGCCATATGGATTTTTGTGGGATTTTTATGAATGCTGTAGAATTTTAGAGCAAACGCCATCTCAGAAATCATCTGCTCTTTCTCTCCCCTGCGCCTCACATGAGGAAAGTGGCCGAGAGAAGACGAACGTCCTGGCTGGTTGGTGGCAGAGGGGAGCTGGACACGGGTTTTCTGGCTTTTGGCTGATTTCGCCCCCGCCTCTCTCGGGTAAAAAACAAACAATCAAACAAAACAGCAGCCACACCTAGCCACGCAGAAAGGTGCTTGGGCGGTTCTGTCATTGTTTCTCATTCAAACGTTTGCAGAAATTGCACTGATAAATTTTAAGCTGAAGCGTTGAGAAAATTCTGTGCGTAACTAGTTCTGATGAAATGGAAGTTATTAATTCAGTCACATGGTCCATCGTAGCAGGATGTTAGGATTTTTTTGGCTCTCTTACACGTATTGTAGAACTTTGGAAAATCGATTTTCAGTTTGCTTAGTGTAAATGTTAGAATGCATTTATTGCTCGCAGAGTGTATGTGCCATGTAAAACTTCTCATATCGCTGGAATACGTCAATGCGGTGACCTTTTTTTCTATTCGAATGGCTGTCTTTAGAATTTTCAGTTGTTAGCCGTTTCCCCCTAATATTAGCCTTTCTCCATTTTTTATAATGTTGTCATCCACTCCTCGCTTTTACTCATGTCAGGAGGTCAGAATGACGTACGTATCTGCGGTAGTCAAAGGTGTCGCTGTTTTACCTGCAGCCTTAAACTCGCAGGCCAGTGGCCACGCCCGCCCCTCCCCGCACGGAATCTGCTCAATCGTTTTAGCGTCTGGTGACATCAGTCCACCCTTGTGCAGCTGCTACAGGAAGTCACG